AGGGCCGGCCCGACAGACGCGCTGAGCCGTCACATGCTGGGATATTGATCGGAAACAAACACCGGGTGACAGATCCCTCTCTGTGGTCCCTCGATACGCCACTCGACCGGCAGACGGTATACAGCAGACGCCGAGCCCCGAATAAAACTGCACCTAGTGGGTCTTGATGGATAAGAAATCGTCAAACTATCAAATCATTTGTAGTGTACATATACTTTTTAGGTAATTATAAACGGCTAATATCCCACATAAATGCTACCTTTCTTCTGGCTTTTGGAGTGGTGATGGTGGGCGTGACCTCCTTGACACCTTTAGGCACTCTCAGGCTTCAGATTCCTAACTACATTACATATTATAATTTAATTTATATGGGCATTATAATTTAACATGGGCATCAAGTATGCGAGAAGAATTGTCACACGTTTTAGTTTCATGAGATAGTATTTTGATGCAGGAGCTTCAGAACATAAATTTACTTAACCAGCTATGTAGATCCTTGATTACTAACTAGACTCCTTACAACCATATAGCGACACTCAGCAGGCGTCGTTCGAAAGAGCAAAATTATGATGATTTTTTTTCCGTCAGTTCTTTCTTTTTCGGGGGGTCATGTCAAAGGTCGGGCCGCCAGAAGGAAATCAGAGATTAACTTTCGCCTATTTCGACAAATTGGCGCATAACCAGAGAAGCAACAGAGCTACAGCACCGCGAAAAAGCACATTCGCTAGCTCTTTTAACCCTCGCATGTGTGCGGCGTTTTCCAGCTTCTAATGTGTAGGGGGGGGGGGTCGGTTGGACCCCCCCCTTGCCGTTTGGCCCCTGATCGAGCTAGAGCTTCGCGGAAAAAACGAGCGTGTTGCCCGTGACGAGAGGAAGCCGATGACACCCAATTTTAGGGTCCTAGGTCATTGGTTGACCTTCCAGGTCAGGTCAATGACCCAAAGTCGGGAAAATCGGGACCTGTTAGAAAGTCGTAAAGTGTGGCTGCTAAGGGGTTTTTCGGGGTGCTGATCACGAATATCGTGTTAGTTTTGATCACAGATGATGTCTTGAAGCATTTAGACCAGGTCGGGTCAGGTCAGGTCAGGTCAACCAGTAGGCGTCGTGACGGGTATTCGTAGTACGTGTCAACCACCTCTGACAGCTTCGTAACATGTTACGAAGTCACCAAAACTACTTCGTAAATGTTCAAATGGTTGCTAAATTCGAATTCAGCTCCAAAAACTAGCCTAGAAACATGTAAAACTCGAAAAAGTGAACCGAGGTCACCCGAGGTCACCAAAGGTCAATGACCTGACCTGACCTTCAGGTGACCTTGACACCCACGGGAGTAACATCAAATCACATGTTTGAACGTTTGAAACCACGAAAAGCTTGCAAACGCGCGGCTAGTGCGAGCCGACATACGCGAAATCGCGATTCCGGCCAAACATGGTCTCGGAAAAGAGGTCACAGGTCAAAGGTCATTTAGGTCAGGGTCATGAAATTTTCAGGGTAGGTGTAAAATTGATCAATGCGAGGGTACTGAAAGTTTCGTCGCGATCGGCCGCTTTTTACGCGAGTTATTCGCGAAAAACCATGGGGGGGGTCCATCCGACCCCCCCCTACACATGCGAGGGTTAACCCGCGCGGGGCTGGGGTCTCCAGCCGAACGCGCGGGGCTGGGGGGGGGGGGAAATTTTACCACCCCTGTTATCTCCCGAACTAATGGTCCGATTTGGAAAATTCAAACGCCAATCGAAAGATCTCATCACGAACAACTAAAAACATGTACTTAACTTAAAGTTTGAGGTCAAGGTTAAGGTCAGGTCAAGGGTTCAAATTGCAAGTTTCTACAGTATCGGCCTTGCACCGTAGTTGCCGAAGAATGGAGTCATGGACTGAGACTGATTGCCCAAAACGTGTTCTTAGGCTACCAAGACAATATTCGTTGCATACAATATCATTCAGAGGTCAATGTCAAGGTCAGGTCAGGTCAGGTCAGGTCACCAAAAACAAAATACATATAGAAAAGGGCATGTGCGACACATGTTTTATGGGTCAGTTTAGACTCATTTTACTCATAGAATTCAAAAGGCACACTCAATAAGTGATATGGACTACCTCTTGATGAATTTTAGGTCAAGGTCAGGTCAAGGTCAGGTCAAGTGAGGTCAAATTTTGAAGTTGGTTGTGAAGGCCCAAAAAGGTGTCTATCTGATGCAGTTTTTCACGGCGAATCGAACGGTGCTATTTTTGTTTTCGTACGAGGTCTAGAACTTCCAACAAAATCATTTTTTCAAAATTTTGTGTGTCGTGACGTCATAAATTTTTAAATAACTCCCACATTTTTGAACCGATTCTTCTAAAATTTGGTATGTAGGTGCACATAGACCACTTCTGTGACATTTATTCTGGTTTTTCGATACACTCAAAATTTTGGATTTTATAATTATTTTCCCAAAAAAATCAGTTTTTTTGAAGAAAAAAAAATTCGGCCAATATCCAAAATTTTCAAAAACCGAGATAGCCATTTGATAGACAAAGTAGAATTACGTATAACCTTTATTGTTACGTCTTGATTCCTTTAAAAATGAAGATGTTAGCGGCGTTTGAAATTTTGCCGTTTTTGAGGCGAAAATGGCGAACATGACGTCACTAAAACGTCAATTTCTCAAAAATTTCCGACGGATTTCGCTCAACTTTTCAGGGAACGTGTCAAATTGATGTAAGAAAAGGTACTAAAAGTTTAACGGCGCTGCGCGCCGCCGTTTTTGAGATATTGCAAAAATTCGCGAGGGGGGGGGGGTAAAATTTACCCCCCCAGCCCCGCGCGGGTTAAAGCTCACTCTGAATAATGCTCTCAGGACTCAGATTTGACCTGGTGGTGAATAATTCAGAATCCAGGAGGCGTAGGGTCCAGGACTCTCAAAACTTTACATTTTACGATGCACGTTTTTCTGCAATGATTTTTTTGACATAATTCAAGCTTGCTTTACATTGATTTTACCGGCATTGCGTTTCTCTCGTTGAGACGCGTCGAACTAACTGATAAGCTGACATAGAGATGAGCCTAAAAATTGAAAATTTGACCACAGGTCAAGGTCACGGAAAAGTCATGCTGCTTATAAGTTGATTTGTTTTGTTCAGACGAACCCATCTAGGGTGCTTTCATCGCTCAAGCGTGTTTCTAAATTCTATCTATATTTATTGTAAAAAAAGCTGTTGGCGACCTTTCATGACCTGAGATGACTTCAGGGACATAAAGAGAGGCCACGGGTGTAATTTTCCGATTTAGTGTGTCACGTTTACCTAGCTGTATCCTGGTGTTTAAGTGTTTTCCTCCAAAAGAAAAGGATATTTTTATTTCCTCCCATTGACTGCCGGAATGGAGACTGGAGAGGTCGCAATTAATGACCTGAACTTAGGTCATTGACATCGTAATTCCGAGGCATACAAATTATTGGTACTGATTCTCTCACGCAATAGACGAGTTTTAAACTTCTGTGTAGGATGGCAGTATCACAATTCACAAATGTTTTATTTTTTATTTTTTAGAGGCATGGTCCCTCTACTTGACCTGGTGACCTGACGTTATGTGACCTGGGATCAACAATTTCACACATGATGCGAAATCGATGCTATACCAATCGATGCTATATGTATGTACTATGTATGTACATAAGCTATAGATATGAGCATAAGCTGTAAGTTTCCCGGCGCGGCGCGCCGCAGTTTTCTTTACACACGCATAAAAACTGGCAGGTGTGGCCAAAAATACCCCCCCCCCCCCCCACCACCACCCGGACGAATGTTATTGTTCATCCAATGTAAAAGCCCCCTACATTATGAACACCTTATCTACTTATCTATCTATTGATCATATCGACCACAATCACAAAGCGGCATGCAGGCTGCGGGTGAGGTTCCCTAATTTGTCTGTCTTCTTCTACCTACCTATTAGGCCTCCCTGATGTAGGGGACACCGGACGTCAGTACCTACCTATAGCAGTATAGCTGAAGCATTTGACCTATCCTAAAGTGACATGATCTGACCCAGCCCGAGCTCCGAGTCCACGACTTCAAACTTCGGTCGTTGTCCATTTAGTCGCAATTCCAAAGCCCTCTGAAAGTCTGAAGTCTGAATTAAACGATAACCCCAATAACGGTTTCTCATCTATACCCTATACCTATATTTTTAGGATAATCTGCAGTGCAATGAAACCAAGAAAACTAAGAACTTACGTTTGTAGCATCGTGCTAAATGTAGGTATAACGTCAAATATCCTGCAGGAGGCAGGCAGAGCACGAGTGTTGGTCTTAGCTCCCGAGCCATCACCTATAGTGTTAGTTACATACTTACCTTACCTGATAGTAGTGGGTACCTAAATCACTTGTTGAAAGCAAAGAGAGAATCACAAACCGTGTTCGTTGCTTTCAACGCAACACTTCCTCGTTTCCCGTGGTTCACTGTGCCCCCGCAGTACCGTCTTGCTGAGCAACTTTCCTCCGTGGCGCCGGTGAATGCCCAGATCTGGGACCTCCACGCTCAAAATATCCGAGCGCCGCCAGAGATCCGCTGGAGGCCGCCGGGTGAGGACTGTCGGCGGCTCGCGGAGTCTGCTCAGTTCTCGTGGTTCGGCCAGTGCGAGGGGTGCGCCGACTCTTGTGGAAAACTTCTTGAATCAAAGTTAAAAGCAATCGTAAAACGACTTAGGCTCCTGTGTTTCACGTTGTGGCGAATTGGCCACTATCTATATTATAAATTTTAAGTGCTGGGTGACAAGAAACTGAAACACTGGATTCCATTCCGACTAGTTTCTTTTCGGGGTGAGTATTTGCAGATAAATGTTGTTGGGGCCATGCGTCTAACATGCGTAAGCATGGGCTCTCCATGATTTACTTGCGGTATTCACAAACTGCTTTTGACTCAACCGCGCCAAAAATGTCGTTGCTTGTATTTGACGCTGTGCATTGCAATCAATTGCAAGTTCTCGCATTGCTGTGTGTCGTTTTGTGTCTGTGGAGTGCTTATAGTTGAATGTACTTTTTTTGCTAATTTAGTAGGATTCATCCAGTCCTAGTGAAACTTACAAAACCTGCTAAGATTGTGATGGCTGACCTCCCTGATCAGAGTTTTAATAGCGATTTTCCAACTTCACCTTGGGGACTTGCATCGAGGTTAGTTGAAAGCAATCTGCATTGTTTTTTATTGTAGATTCTTAGGTATCCACCTAGGTACCTATTTGTGGGATAACTTTTTTATAATATGTATTAGCAAAATGTGCTCAAGATCGTTCTCAGTGCAGCGAGATTGAGATTGAGATATGAGATGGGAATGATAAGGGATTTGTTGTGTAATTACCTACCATAATTCATAGGTAGGTATCTTGCTATCATATGCATTATTTTGCCCTTTAACTGGGCACAACTTCCACATCATTGTTAATGACATCAGAGGTTCCTGTTTGATAACTTTGTACGCACACATGTATATGATTGGTTGATAGATCCCCTGCAAGCTTGAGTAAAATCATTTGTCATCTGTCAAAATTGGAAAATTTAGTTTAGTAGAAGCCTATAAACTTGCCCAGTTATTTTGAAATTTTATGTTGCCCAAGCAAATAAGTGTGAATAACAACCACACAATGCCGATGCACAGTTTCTTATCAACTTCTGCCCATAGATTAATGAGGCTGACGGAGCAGCTTTCTGTTTGTGGGCGATTTGCGAAGTCAGTATCTGACTTTGCAAATGCTGCTGAAATGCTGCTGATCATTGTTTGAATGCAACACTGGTCCTGAATGCTGCTGGCCATTGTTTGAATGCAACACTGGTCTATAATTTTCAGCTTTTATAGGTGCTAAACAACTGAGTATCATTTTACCATTTGTTAAACATGTTTGCACACTGCACAGTCAGTACTTTGGTCTCTGCAGACCTCTGTAGATCTACCCAGGGGTCTATGGTCTCTCACATTCCTTTGTTACCCTGATGCCTGACTGGCTCATGGCTGCGGTGGTTCATTTCCGTCACTGTGACTTGTGATGTGACTCTTTATGCCCTGTTTGATCACAGGCGGGCCATGGTTAGCGAGGCCTGCGCTCAGCCTCGCGGCTCGTCAGCCATGGCGGTGTCCCGCGTCTCCAGCCCGCCGCCGACCTCCAACGAGAACTCTCAGCCCACGGCAGAAAACTGGTGCTTCACACAGGTGAGTCGAACGGGTGATGAGTTCTAGCAGCCTGGAGAGCAGTACCTACGCCGTGTGATCGGCTGCAAGTGGCGGACCAGCCCGCTGCAGTAGCTGGGATCCCGAGACCCGAGCCCTCTCCGGTGCCGGGTGTATCTGTGCATTGATTATGCGCCGCGTCTGGATCCCAGCGGGACGGCAGCGGCGGCGGCAGCAGCATCGATTGTGTGTGAGCGAGCGGCGGTCGGTCATTGCGCGCCGTCCGCCAACGTCGATACGCTGAGAGGGAGGCGGCGGGCGGCGACTCCCCGCCCACAGTCGGCCTGCTCCCTCCCGGCACGCATTGATCGCCCCAGTTGTGCGTGGTTCCCCTCCAGTGTGCGCCGCGCCGCCCAAACAGAAATAGGTCAGCTGGGCCGGACGGCTGGGCGCCGGCGGCCTATTTAGCGCGTGCCGAGCGGGCGTGTGTCGCCGCGCCGGTGACCGGGCGGGCCGCGGCCGCGCAGCTGGCCTGCCGACCGCACAGGTGCGCGGCGTCGGCAGCTGGCGGCGCTGCCCCGGCCACCACCGCCCGCACCCCGGTCTGGAGAGAGAGGGAGAGAGAGCGCCCCGCGCCACGATCTTACCCGGGTGAAACGGGAGGGAAAAGTAGGGCCGCCGGTTTCACCATCCTTTGTGTGGGGGCGCATGTGCGGCCGCCCGGCCGACCACGTGCTCGGATGTCGTGAGGAGCGGCCCAGGATATGGCACTGTTTGGGACGTACCGCCGCTCCTCGCCGCCCACCCGTCCGCGCCGGGTGTCGATATCACAGGGAAACTGCGCCACCCCAGCCGCCGTGCGGGGAGTGCAGAACGGCGCCGTCGGCGTGAGCGGCGAGCTCGCGGGGAGGAAACCGCGCCGCGGACGGAGAGCGCCGAGAGCCGGGGTCACGGGGAGGGATGGCGGCGTGTGGTGAGCACGACAATGTCGCTGCCTATTGCCGTCGGCCGAGCGCGAACGCGCGGCGATTAGGCAACGTCGATTGCCCCATATGAGCGTGCGTTCGACCGGGGCTGTTTGCACCGCGTCGTGCCGTACTTACGAGCCCGCAGCTGAATGGCAGGCTGATAAAGTCATCGAGATCGGCCCTCTGCCAACCGATCAGTATTGTGATCTGTTGGATGCTCGTGACATGTCGATTGAGACGTTAAGGCACTTATCTACCACAGGTCATCCATACTGAATGGCTCTTTGTCGTTAGAACTGCCACTTTCAACGGCCAGCATTGTTAAGCACACCGATCACAATTATTGGCTCCTTCGTGTCGAAATTAATTGCTCATTCAAGTGACAAACTTTGAAGAGAACCACGTGGTGTTCCTCCATCGTTCAGCTCAAGTTTGTCGATATATCTTAGCCGGTCTGCCGGCTAAGTGCCTGGGCCGATACCGGGAGCGTTGCCACGCCGGCGTCGGCGTCGGCGTGGCACGTCGCCCTCCAAGGCTGGCCGTTGCCGAGCCGGGGCCGGCGACCCCTGCGGGCCGGTGGACGCCGCGTGGTACTGGTGGCCTCCCCTTCCCACTGGCCGGCCACAAAGCGCCGGCGCGCCGGTCGCTTGGGGACGCTCGCGGACAATGCACCTGGAGCGGCGCGCCGGCCAGCTGATGGGAGCTGCCGCCCCTCCGTCCCCGCGCCCGGCTGACAGGGCCGCACGTCCGGCCCGGCCCGTCGGCGCGGTGTGTGCTCCAACACTGAGCTCTGCTCCACTTCCCGCGGCGCCGGTTACGCTGCCGTGATGCTATCTGGAGGACCTTTTTTAGACTCCGATGTGCCAGATTTCCTCCGTGTCAAGGCTGCTGAGTACCGGAGACTGAGCTGTTGAACAAGACGCTTATTTCGAAACATGTCCGACATTGGACCGAAATACGCCCGAAGGCTTTGTTCTCGGTAATCGATTTTTGGCTTGGCGTCGGCCCAGTCACCTGATTGTGGAGTGTGTCGTTCGTAAAAATGCGACTTCTGTGCATTTTGATGACAGCATTCTTGTGCCTTGGATTAGAAGTGTTTGTTGTCAAGCAGTCGGTAGACTATTGTCAGTGTCGTACATTGCTGAACTGGCGGTGGCGACCAGCCTTCTCCTGCGCCATACGGCCGCTCGCGCAACAATGCGGAAGCCTCTCGCTCATGTGCCGCCTCGCCTGCCCCGCAACACTTTTACATTTCGAAAGGTTGCGGCCGCGGCAGCGCACTGTTGCCTTTCCCCACGTCTGAAACCGGCGCAGACGCGATCTACATGAGGTGGTGGACCTCATTAAATCACAACGGGTTTAAATCACAATTGTTTGGTAACATTTTTTTGATGGCCCTAAGCTGTCTGAATTCCCCTTTCTCCGGAAGGGGAGGGATAGACTCTAAGCGTGTCACACGCCTGTTCGTGCGCTACGTTTGTGTGTTGGCAACAGCCGGTCGCTCGGCGAAAGGGGGGCGTTTCACCGAACGGGGGCGTATCAGTGCCGCTGGTGACATTCCGATGCGGACAACTCAATATCAGCAGCCCCTCCCCCCCGCCTGCTGCGGAGGACGGTGGGGAGGGGTGGCAGGGATGCCGTGCTGCTGTTTCGACACCGCGGGGCGCGACCTCGGCCGGCCGTGCTCGACAGCACGCCACCGGCGGGCGCGCGGCGCCGAACTTTGGACCGGGATCGCCGGTAACCTTCAGCCGCGATCGTCAGCGCCGCTCGGCCAGCCAGCCCACGGGGACGCGCAGATGGCATTGGCGATAGCGTCAGCGGTGGCTGCTGCAGGCCGGCGGGATGCTGCCGTGCGCCGCCCACCCCTCGGCGGCCGTGCTGTGTCGTGATGCGCCGGCCCGGATCGCGGCCGGCGTGGGCCGGGACCTGTTGCCGAGCCGGCGGCAGCGTCACGGCGCGTCGGGCCGACCCGCGTGGTGACCCGGCGCTGCTCCGCCGCTTTCCTTCAGATACCGTCCGCTGGTGCGCCGCGCGCGAGAAACGGCGCGCTCTGCACAGTTTCCCCGATAACGGGTGTGACACACTTCCCCGCAGCGGCGGCGCGGCCCGGCTGGGCGCCGCCCCGGTCGGCCGGCCTCAGACACGGTCACCAAACGGTGTCTGTCGTCCGAGCGAGCCGCCGCACCGGTCCGACTAGCGGCGCGACCGCCGCCGCTGACGGATTTCCGCGCTGAGCCAGCACGGCGACAGCGCGCCACAGCGACAAAGGACACCGCAGCGCCGATAGACCGGACCAGTTGGTGCGAAAGCGGCGCCGAGCGAGGCCATGGGTGGCGTGCAGCGTGCGGCGCCGCTCAGGGCCGGCCGGCGTGCACGGCGCCGGTCCTTGGCGGCTGGCCTTCGGACGGCGGCGCTGCGTCCGGCCGCGTCCGTGTCCGCGTCCTCCGCCGCCGGCGGCGCACCTCCGGGTGGGTCCGAGTCGAGTGGAGCCGGCCGGCACGACGGCCGCTCCTCCCCGGCACCGCCCGGGGTTACCGGGCACCGGCGGGCGCCGTCACCCGCCCCCCCCCCCAAACCGAATGAGATCCGATGTGTTTTTTTCCTTTATCGCACTGTGAGGTCAGATTGAGATAGGCTATCGTTCGAGCCTAGACGGCCCGACGGCTGACCTCTGGCTGGATCGTCTCGGCTCACTCGTTGTGTACTTGTGCCCGCTGTCTATGTTTGCCGTTCAGATAAACACACGGACGTGCGAGAAAATCGTCGATGGCGCGGCCAAAAAGCTCCATGTGACCCGAATTCCTGGCGTTTGGGAGGTGATTCAGGCCTCTGGTGTTTTTGCGGCGTGGCCGGGCGTGCTGTCGGCCGACCTGAGCTGCTCTCTTTTTGCACGCGCCGGCCGGCCGGGACCAGTGGAGCGGCCGACTGAATGGGGTCGACCGCCGCGCCGGGAGGTGCTTCACCCGACCGAACCCTCATTGTCGCGGCGCCGGCCGGCCGGGAAATCAATCGGAGTACCGGGCCGCCGCGCCGGGCGGGGCGTTGACCGCCGTCGTCAGGAGGGTGGCGAGCCGGGAGGGAGGGAGCGCCGCCCGCAGCTCCGGGGCCGGTCACCCGGTGACGGCGCGCAGACGCGTGACGCCGCGCCTCCCTCCACTCGGCCGCAAAAAGACACCGCTCGACGCGCGTCCGGTCGTTTACCCATGCCGTGGCAAAAAGCGCACGCCGTTTTTCGGCCGGGTTCAGGCGGCGGCGCGCTCGGTGGGCCGCTCCGGCCGGCCGCTCCGCGCGCGCTGCTTCCGGCAGGCGGCGGAGGTGACACTCCGGCGGGCCGCTCCGCCTCGCCGCGCCGCTCGGAGAAAGGTGGCGAGCGCACCCCGTCGCCCAGCGCCGGCTGCTTTCTCTGGACGACCGCCGGTTACGGCATCGACGGCGAGCGGCGCTGACGGGCGGCATCTCACCGGCGCGCGCGCCGATCGCGCCACATCGGCCGCAGCGCGCCGTGTCGCGTGCTGCCAGCTGATGTCAGATTACCGCGGCCCCGCGCGCAACCGGGACAAGGCCTGGGAGGTGGGCTGGCGGGCCGGCCGCGCTGCTGTCCTTGCTTGACGGAGCCGGCGCCGGCCAAGGCCCGCTGTCGGAGGACGACAGGGCACGCTGCTCTGTGCAGCACGTGAAAAATGACCAGCGCTGAGGGACAGTCTCAGCACGACGGAGACGGCGCCGGCCGGCTGGGAACGGCCACGCCGGATTAGGAGCAGGCTGCTCTGGTGTGTAACGGGCCGACGGGCGGTAACTGGGACAGACACTGGCGCTGCAGGTCGGCCGGCCGGCCGGCGGTCGGGTGACACGATTGTACCGGACCCGGGGATGATATGCCGCCGGTTTCCGGGAACACAAGGACCCGGACCGCGTCAGCGGCCGTGTGATACGGCGCCGCGCTATTGACGTCAGAGAAGGAAATTGTGTGAAAGCTTAGTTTCACTCCATGTCCGTTGGCTTTTGCCCTGATCCCATCCTAGTGTATGATGCCATCACTAGAGGGATAAGTTCGACCGGCGTTGACACAAC